AAAAGATTAATTTATTATCATTTATTAATTCATTTATTGTAACTGAGGTCACATTTGTTGATTTATCACAATATTATTAAATGGAGATACTTAACATCCCTGATGTAAGGTAGAATTTCTTCTCCAATTAAGCCAAAAAGTTTAGAACAAGGAAGAACCGAACCTGCCTGCTAGCTGTCCAAATTCTTCATGATGTAACTAAAAAACTCCCCCTTCCTTTGAATTTCGGTGAAAGACTGAAGCATGCTTTTGTGTACTTTACCAGTCCCCAAAGTTCATAAAAAACAAAACAAGCATGTCCCGCCGAGGCCTTTTTCTTTACCACTCTCCAATCAGGGAGGCAAGAGGCCATTTAAGTATTTAACGATCGAGGGAAAGTGAAAACAGAAATTATGTTAAAACCAAGCAAACCCCTTGATTTTTCAAGCTATATTTGCTCCTTAGTTAACAGTTCGTGTTGCTGCTGGTGATACGAGTGTGTCTCCATCAGGCCTGCATGTGAGCGTGGGCCATTCTACTCATGGTAGTCTCACACAAATACAACTACTCTGATCCTTGATGTCTGGACTTGAGTTCTGTCTTAGGTTTAAGAGGATAAGAATGCAAATTTTCAGATTTAGGTAAAATAAGGTTAAAAACCTCTTGACTAGAGACCTTAGGGTAGAAGGATGTAATGGTATCTCCAAACCAAATGCTGTATCAGATGCAACAAGATGCTTTATATGGTTGAATGATAGATAGACACATCAAGGTTGTAGCAACAATTGAACTTCTGAACTGCGTTATTTCTATACAGTAAGAATCAGTTGAACCTGTATGTGTTGGTATGTCCTTAATGTGCCTCGGGGACAACAAGCAACATATTGTATTGTTTCTGTACAATGTGTATAAGTTCATTAAGGTTTCAAGTTCTGCTACCTACACACTAACTATAAAACTGTGCACCACATGATTTTATTCATTTTCCATATTATCCCATGAAGAGGATTAATTCTAGTATCTAGTAGTTAAGCAGGCCAGAAACACCCTTCTAAGTGCTAATCCTACAAAGAATCCTCGATTCCTCGCCATTTCTAGTGACTTCATGTATTGCATTTGCTAAATAATTCACATTGCCTGTTGTCACCCCAGCCATGCTGCAACACGTCACATGGATAAGTTGTGTTAGTACCTTATGGGTACAGAAGTAAAATGAACAAAACTTCATTTCAGAATTAAAATTAATTAATTCTAGAGTAATATATTAGTATACCTCATGCGTCCATCAAGAATCATGTATATGTGGAAGTCCCTCGCAAGCTGATCTACCTGATCAGGACTTAAGCCAGAGAAGCAAAACATTCCAACCTGCAGTTTTGCAGATTTCATTTTATAAACTGCTGAAATCCCTTATAAGCAAACTTCAAACGGAATTTAGTAAAGTCAGAAGTAAATTATGGACCTGATTGGTTATGTGCTCCCAATTGAGAGGAGATCCCAATTTCTCAAGAACTTGGCGAAGAGTTGCTCGCATTCTTTGAACACGGTTAGCCATGACCTTATTACAACACAAGGGTAATGATCAAAGGCACATCAAGACCATGCTGTTTTATTTAATAAATGAATTTTTCTTTTTCCTTTTTGGTTTTAAGGATGATAAAAAGAGAAGATAACAAGTAAAGAAAGATTTTTTTTTTTTTTTAAAGTACCTTCATCTCTTTGACCCAGAGTCTCTTAATTTCTGGATCACCCAGGATTGTTGAAACCAGTAACATACCATGAAGTGGTGGGCTGCCATACATTGCTCTGGCAATCTGCTGCAGCTGGCTCTTAATTGTAACTCCTTGCCTCTTGTCATCACAGAGAACACTGAAACAATGGAAGTATGGTACGAAAACATAAGAACCAACACCCAAGTCAGATGACTGAGGCTGAAAACTGGTCGTCAACTGTAATTACTGGTCCTCCAAATAAAGCACAGCCCTCTACAGACCTAGAAAAATTCAAATACATAAAATAATAATAATAAAAAAGAAAATATTACCTTAGACAACCAATTCGGTGTCCACATAACCCCATGTTCTTTGCAAAGGATTGAGCGCAACCTATTAAATGTCCATCTTTAAGGAAAATTCGAATAGCATTGGCATCCCTCTCAAGATCCCCACTTGCAACACCTTGATAAGCCATGTCAAAGAAGGGGAAATGGTTCTTTACCTAAAAACCAAAAAGGTTAGAATTCAAAGCAATAATATGCATGAGCTAGTTAGGGTGAAACAATACAATCAACATTACCTTGAACAGATATGAGATTTCTTGCCACTGCTCCTCAGTAGGGTCAATCCCAGTTGGATTGTGGGCACAAGGATGAAGCAAGAAAAAAGAACCATTTGGAGCATTCTACAGATTCCATCAAATAAAACAACCAAACACAGTCAATAACTTAGTTTCTGTCAAAGCTGCAGAATTTAAAATTATATTGCATGATTCTCTGCTTCTAGTAACTAATGGAACATTCATATTTGGTCACATATTGAACATCTGATGCCAAATCTACTTCCTCTTTGTGTGAGCATGGACATATCCTTTTATGTTTATTGTAAAGATGCATCCATGTATGTTACAAGCATACTTGCAATATTTTGAAGAAAATCACACGAAAACAGTTCTTAGAGTAGTCAGTTGGTTGCTGACTTTAAAAAAAATCCTATTTAATTTGGCTGCCATGACAGAACTACATAGATAAAAATTATGAAAATGATTTGTTCATTAGTGCCTTTATTTCTTTCACTCAATAGGATGATGATCTTGGAACCAAGTGCAAGCAATTCTGGAAGGTTTACTGTACCTTAATATCATCCACGAGTGCTGCAAAATTTATGCCCTTCGTGTCCGGATCATAGTAGCGGAAGGTTCTCTTGCAAACTTGGGCATCTCTCCAAATGTTGTGATGACTACATAATGTGCATGAATGGGTGACAACCAAAAAGGAAAAAAGAAAGACAAAAGCAGTACTCATCAATACTCAGCGTGAAACAATGTTAACATAAATCTTGAAGAGCAACAAGGAACTGAATGGTTACAGGGCAAACTTACTTGGACCAAGTTGGATCAGGCAAATATATCATTGATCCAGGGTAGAAGCGTCTCTGTAGTTCAGCAAATAGACGGCATGCACCAGTACCAGAGAGTGCTTGAACTCCAGCATATGTCCCTTCTTTTATGACATCAGAGTCCCTTCCATACACCAATTTTACACTTTCCTCAACATATTTTGAACTAACAGCAGTAGAAATTGACCCCCTGCCAATGCATCTCAAAATTCAGACAACAAGAAATTTGGAACAAAGGGGCAAGATGTATATATATATAAAAGAATTCAGCCCACATTAAGAAAACACAACCAGAATCAATGTTACAATGTAATCAAAGTTCAAATATTGGATGTGCCTACTTAAATTAAATTTTATTTAATCCTAAGCACATAATTATCATAAACCCAGATATCTAATATTAATCAGATTACAAAAACATATCAAATGAACTAGTAATTGGCATTTCTAGCCAAATGAGAAACTTGTAGCAGCAGAAACTCACAAGAACTGGCTGGCTGCAATCTTGGCCTCTGCTTCTCGAACGCATTGAAGAACAACAGGTTTCCCCTCATCGTCAAGGTAAGCTCCCTATCGATCACAAAACAGAAATACTAAAAATAGAAATGGGAAAAGGAAAAGGCCAAAACAGTACCAAGAAGGAAAAGAAAACAAATTCAAGTATTACCACTCCAAGATTAATCTTGTTGGATGAAGGGTCGGCAAGAAATGCTTCTGTAACGCCGTTGATGGGGTCCTTCGAAGCTCGATCGACACGGCCCCACCAACGGACGGCACCGGTGGAGGTAGACAATGCCCTTGTCAGACATCTCTTCAACATAGTCAACCGATTCTTCACTATCATTAAGAACGAAGAAGAGCACCAGCTCCCATGGTGCTAAGACGATGGAGCTTAAAAAGGAGTGATCTTCATCGTCGTCCATGGTTTTGTGCTCAAAAACTAGATAGTCTTCTGTTTTCCAGTGGGCTTGCCCCCCCCTGCTGCCAACAGAAAAGCGGGTGTTGACTTCTCACGGCGCCGCGTCTTCTTATAAAATAGCCTGATCGGGCCACGTACTCGATAAGATGAGAATTGACCCATTGGGTCTTAGACATAAGCGGGCTGGTGCTGTGAGGCCTAATCGGACTTCCAGCCCAATCTTAATATTTTCTAGGATTAAAGAATTGAAAATAAATAGATATCTCGGAGGTTTAAAAAGCCAAAGTAACATATTATAATAGGTGATATTTTAAGTTTATAAATGATTTTTTATTTAAAAATTTATTTATGATATTATACATGTATATTTTTTAATAATATATCATATTTATTTAATATTTTTTATTAACTTTCCAATATCTAATAACTACATTGAATCCTAATTAATTTGGAATCAAGTCACATTAGATCTCATTAGAGAGGAAATTCTCTTAACGTTTATTTTTCTATTCATAAAATTTAAATTCGAGATCTTATTTAAGGAGAACAAAACTCCATTATATTCGGACCAATAGGTCGTTGATATTTATTTAATATTATATTATAATTATAATTTGACAATCTCATATATTATTGTAACTTTAGCATTGCTGTTTCAAAAGTGGGTTTTTTTTTTTTCCACCTTAGTTTTGTAACGAGGATTTGATTGCGCTTGATTGCTTTTTTGGTGTTTGACTTTTATTAATCTTTCGTAAAGTTAGATTTGTGAATGTTTGAATATGACAATTGAGAAATACTAATAAATTAATCTTCTCTAATTTTTAGTGTTGTTTTTTAAATCATTGTGAACCCTTCTTAAATCATTTGAGAGGACTTGGGTATGGCTATTTTGTTGAAATTACATTGAGAACTTTGGAATTTGGATGAGGCTCCTTTTTGTTGAAATTACATATTAGTGGATAATAAAAAGACAATTATATTTTTTCTCCATAAAAAAAGGAAAATCATATATATCCACACTTGAGAATTTAATTTGACACTCAATCAACCATTTCGATTCAATTTGCAACACTTACTTCTCATGAAATTAATTTACCGATTTCCAAAAAAATAAAAAAATAAACAATGAACTTTTAGACCACAAACCGAGGTTGCTTTAAATTTCACCAATTCACCCTCCGGCAGTTATCCCGAATCTGTCCTTGAGTTCCGGTCAAAGGCTTAATGTTCCCCATCCTGATCATAGACCTCGCAAAGTCTGCCCAGAAGGCTTCAGGATTAGACTTGTAACTCCTTACAATTGCGTCGGTGGAGCCACCGCTGAAGAGCGCTTGATCCGACTGCAGCAGCCCCCTCTGCTTCACCAAGTTGTTGTAGTATGCACCATCAAAACGAGCTGGTGTTGGGTCCAA